GTCCCGTTTCAAACGTGAGCGGACTCCATCCTGTGGATGTGAAACGAGACGCGTCTGATCTGTGAATGTTTTCAGCACACTTCGGTCCAGAAATAAACGCCCGTCCTCCTCTGTGGACAGACCTTCTTCTCTTTAATGAATTCAATCACGTCCTCGTCTGAAAGTCACCGCCGGCTGTCGGGTCCGACCTACTTTCTCTTTCTGCCCGTCATTAACTTAGAGGAAGCGATGCAGCGATGTGGAGCTCTGCTGATATTCCACTGGAGTCCGTCGATCCTTCGGGAAGTGAAATGAGCACCAGCAGCCAGCGAGGCGTGCAGCTAACGGCCCGTTTGGCACCGAGCCGGCCGACATCCAGAGTTCAGCTTGGTGCTTTAACCAGATAAGAGAGGCCTGTGAAACATGAGCCCACACAAAGAGCAGGAAGTCTCAGATATTCTCCGCACACAAAACACACATTATGTCAGAAATAACAAGAAAAGACGTGAAACTGAAGGAGAGCAGGGAGGAGGTTTCATACCGAGGATAACAAACGAACACGGAGGCTCCAGCCTCAGCGAGTGTTCTGTGAGCGGCCTGCAGTGATGATACAAACACGCAATCAGGATGAAATTCCTGGTATTCCTTTGTGTTCATGTCAGTGACGCTCCGTGTGTGTCTGTGCTTTTCCTCGCGATGATCCCGGTGTCCGATATACTGCTCGGTTACACTCCGTGGTCTGCATTTAAGTGTGCGTGTGTGTGTGTGTGCGTGCGTGTGTGTGTGTGTGTGTGTGTGTGGGGAAATCAGCTGAGAGGGAAAACTGAGGGTTGATGGTGCGACTCCACCCATCTTCAGTTATTAGATTACAGCTGGAGCTCCACCCTGATGAAGTCGAAAAACTGCGACCGCATCACTGAGCAAACAGCCAATGGAGCAGCAGCTCACTTTAACACCAGCACCTTCCTGAGGCGCTGTGGTTGGAGGCCAGGTGAAGCGTCACTGCTCCTGTTTAAAAATGCGCTGAGAGAGCTGATCAGTGCTCCTCCTGCTCCTCACGCTTCACTGTAACGCATTAACATATATAACATAGCTATAACGTGTTTGAGCTTCTCTGAGCCTGAGCTGGTGGAGGATGAGTTACGGACACTCTGACGTTTGTCTCGTCTCTTGCTGTTGATGGAAAGTTATCCACGGTCTCCAGCTCGCTGCGTTGGCTCGCGGCTGTCCTGCAGAGCGACGATGAAGTCAGACTTCAGCCGCAGCTCGCTGTGTGTGAACTCTGACGGCTCAGTGAGCCTCACACAGACGTGGGAATCGCCAGCCAGCAACAGCATGTTATTATCACAGGATTTGTTATCAAATTATTCAAATCTGGGGATGTGATGATCGTGTCCTCAAAGTTAAACTTTGTCAGTGTCTGTTTCATCCCGTAACATCATTTTTTTCTCACTGTAGTTTTATGTATTTCTGCGTCAGGAGATTGTCAGGCGTTCAGACCTGTCGTATGTCTGTGACTCCACAGCTGTTTCGTTCTACATCTGCGCTCTACAGGCTTCCTGCAGGAAAATCACTGGCTGAGTGGAACCGTCAGGCTGATGGCACCATGCTGTAATCTGTAATCTGCATTTACACCTCAGACTCAAAGTGTCTGCTAACCTTCCACAGTCTCTGTGAGAGGGATGCTGTCAGACTGCAGCTGTTTGCAGCTGTCTCCTGTCGGCCAACCTGACCTGATGATGATGTCAGCTGATGATGTCAGATGGTAGTGAAGCGTGGCTGAGCCCGGTGTAGAGGTCGGGTGCGTTTCAGTTTGTTTGGTGTTTGCATTTGGTAAAATCAGCAGTCAAACGAGTCGCAGCAACAAAGGTGAGACAGGTAACGCCTCCTGTCACCGGCGTGACAGGAGATTTTCGGGCTTCGGGGACGTCAGAATCACTTCTTTGGTCACATGATGCTTTGATGCTACTCGTGTTTGCTCAGGTGTGACATCAGCAGTGACCTTGGCGCTAACACTCTGACAGCAGGGTCTGCGTTTAGTTTAAGTGAGTCAGACTGCAGTGACCCTCCCATCCTGCGGGGGCAGCGTGAGGAGGAGGCAGCAGGATGGTCGTCTAAGCTGCTCTCACTGCTAATCAGAAACAATCCTCTCAGCTGATCGCTGCTCCTCTCTCTGTCTGCAGAGCAAAACGTTTTTAAAGCAGACGGGCGTTTGCTCAGAGGCACAGGGGCAGCTCTGTGTGTGGATGCTGAGAGGAAGTTTGCACACCTGTGTCTCAGGTAAAGCTGACTGATTGAAGGAAGCTGTAAGGAGGCAGAGGAGGCCGGCAGGTGATGACAGGTGATTCACAGAACAGTGTGCACTTCTGCTGAGTGGTAGCTTCTAGATCGTGGCTCAAGAGTTGGGAGTTCGCCTTGTAATCGGAAGGTTGCCGGTTCGAGCCCCGGCTTGGACAGTCTCGGTCGTTGTGTCCTTGGGCAAGACGCTTCACCCGTTGCCTACTGGTGGTGGTCAGAGGGCCCGGTGGCGCCAGTGTCCGGCAGCCTCGCCTCTGTCAATGCGCCCCAGGGTGGCTGTGGCTACAATGTAGCTCGCACACAAGAATTTCACTCACATGTAGCAGTGTACCTGCACGTGTGATGCGACAGTAAAAGTGATTTGATCTCAAATAAAATGAAGGTTTCGATATTTTCCTGAATAATCTCGACTCTGACGCCAATCGGCCTTCAGACTGCGGTCGGCTTTCAGCTGCAGCGCCGATGTTTGTGTCGGGGTGTTCATGTGAGCCTGCTGGGCAGGCAGGCGCGTGGACACCTGACTTTGTGACCACGATAACTCGAGAAGGTGGCAACGTAGCATTTCAAATTGATAACAGAAGTGTATGTACGAGGAGGCTGAGGGGCGGGTGTTTCATCTCCTGCAGGAGCGACGATCGGGCGTAACGCTGTAGCTTTGCCGTACCAGCTGCTTCTGTTCCAACTCTGATTTCAGCTTTTCTGACACTTTCAGGTCTCGTGTGGTCTTAAATGCACCTGTGAGTCTGCTGCTTGGGTCACAGCATTAATCAGCCGCAGACACCTTCGTGTTGTTGGCTGCACTTCCTGCTGACGTGCAGTTTATTCATTGCATTCGGCCACTGCGTGGAAAACTGTCTCGAGCCACAGTTTACCGGCCGGAGCCGCCCGGCAGCTCGGACTGTGAAAACATTGAAAGCAGATGAGAAATGCCGGGAGTTCCTCCACCTCTGTGGGACAGACTTGTTCTCACGCCGTTACAGCTGCACACAGCTGCACACAGCTGGCTGTTTGTCCCCTCACAGGCCTGCAGCTGCCAGGCTCAGGTCAAAGCTTTAAGCCGGCAGGTGAGCGCAGGTGCACATATATTGCACAGCCAGCCTGGGACCAGAAACACGTCACTCAGTTTTATGGTGAGACTTTGCCCCGAGTCACGTCTCTCAGGTGGGGCCATAAACGAGTTCAGGTGTAAGAACAGGCATCAGAGACTCGTCGCTCTCTCGTGTCTGTGGTAGTAAGGCAGCACGAGCTAACGTTCGGTCTGAAGCCATCTGCCCAAACTGGACTTTGACCTTTGACACGGCCTGGATGCTGTTAGCTAATGCTAGCCACCGCGTTAGCTGAGCGGGACAGCCTGAGGCCGACTCTCGACAGTTTTCTTCAAGTAGCTCTAAATTCTAACTCAGACTGAGTCTTTGATGAGGTGCACTTCCTGTGAACCTGTGCAGGTGTTTGAAAACGCTGCTCTTGCTGACGGGGAGGAGAATCGACTTCCTCTCTGCTCTTTGTTCGGCTTTAAACCCTGCACCACGGCGCCGTGTCGCCTTTGTTCTGTTTCCTGCTGTCGGTTTCCTCTGCGTCAGCCTTCGTCCTCAGACCTGCAGCCTGCTGGGAGGAAGTGATCAGCATCATGCATGACAACAAGCACCGATGGTGGAGGCTCGAAGCTGTTCGATGTTCAGTTTGTCCTCCTTACCTCTCTGCTTCATTCCATGTTTGGCACTGATCACCACCTGCACTCATGTATATATCTTTCTACGTAGCACTTTAATTCTTATTCTTATTTTTTCATGTCTATTTAAGCGTAATTTATGACAGTATGTTTGCACTGAAGCACCGCAGCAATTTCCTAATGTTGTAAACCTGCAGCGCGTCACGCCGTTAATCCCGCCGGACGCTGCCGCAAACAAAACCTTTGTTTTTTCCTGACTTTAGTGGCATTAAAGTCTAAATTCTGCCCTCCTCACATTTATTTCATGAAGAATCGACTCGCAGTTCAGATGTTCCCGATAGAGCCGGTCTCTAGTGGACATCAGAGGAACTGCAGGTTCCTGGGGAGATTATAAACTCAAAGTGCAGAGGTGCTTTTACTTTGGAAGTCATTCTGGTCCTCTTCCCCTCATTTCCTCTGAGCTTTTGTGCTGCCGCACGTTCTTGTAGTTCATTAAAGTAAAACCTAAAACGCAGTCTTTCTGGCCCTGTGGGTGGTGTCGCTGCCTTCTGAAGCATTTTTATTAACAAACGTATGTCTTGGCCCTGGTTGTGAAAGGTTTCTGGTTACTTCCTGGCATCTGCCAGCAGATTTACGCCTGCAGTAATGAGAGTCCTGAAATGTGACTCTGTGGATTATTATCTTTGACAGCAGCTGACGAGAAACTGGATTTGAAGTCATCCAGAAAAGGTTAAATGACAGCGTTCACCCAGAGGTCACAGCTGTGTCATCACTCAGACACTTACCTGCACAGCTGGACGTCAGGTGTGCGAGTCACGAGTGCTCCCACCTTAGAGGTCCCTGACTCTTTGTGGAAAGCGGAGCTCTGCTCGAGTAAAAGTGGAGGAATGTGATCCGTTTCACGGAGAACCTCGGTGCAGTCTGTGGGCCCGACAGACGCCGTCGTCGCTGTCTGATGCTCGCAGGTGGAGGTTGTCCAGGCCTGGATGTGAGAAGCAGCTCTCAATAGGAACCCTGCTGCAGTCTCAGTCTCTCTGTCTTCTTCCTGTTTCAGCTTTCCGAAGGAGAACCCTCCAGTGAAGATGAGACCATGGTCCCAGTACTGACGTCCAGAAAAGCCAGTGAACTGCCCGTCAATGAAGTAGCATGTGTCCTGCAGGTAAGGAGGCGAGCGCCTCTCAGCCTGACATTCGTCACGTTTATCTCCGAGAGCGCTCAGCTGATCCGTTCATGAGAACGACGGTGACGCCATTAAAAATCCTCAGACTTAGACTGAGCCAATGAGACGCGTCGTCCTGTTTCTGTGCGAGCTTCGTCTCTGAAACGGTAATCTGAGCGCCGCTGCGTGTCACGCCCACAGGCCGACCTGCAGCTGGGTTTGACCCAGGAGGAGGTGAGGCGGCGGAGGGCGTACCACGGCTGGAACGAGTTCGACATCAGCGAGGACGAGCCGCTGTGGAGGAAGTACCTGTCACAGGTAACGCACGCATCACACGCACACTCACTCAAGGCCATTTCCTGTTTCTCTCTCTGTGTGACGGCGAGTCCCTCAAACGTGCAGCGGCAGAGTCACCCAGCACGCTATTTTTATCCAGAGCCTGAAACGCGTCTGCAGGCCCGCCGTGTTCCCGACTGTCATTGTTCCGCCGCCGCGTTAACCGGCGCACGTCTGCAGCACGCTTACATAACGTCCTGTGGAAGAACACAGATTTATTTTTGCACGGCAGACGTTCGTCGCCTCACAGCCATGTTAGAAACACGTGTAAGGTGTAAACGCGCTTCACCGTGGTAACCGTGACCTCATTGCTGCTCGCACCTTTTAATAGGACTGACACGTTTGTGGTGACTGCACAAAGGAGGAGGTTGAATCCTGTAGCGTTCTTCGTTTCTGTCTCGGAGCTCGTGTCACCGCCACAGCGCGGCGTTGTGAAACAGATCAAGGGCCTCGTTCAGGCGCTGCTGATTGGACGAGCCAGCTGACGAGGGCACATGACCTCTTTCAGCCCTGAAAGCATCAGGTAAATTAACTGAAGGGGAAACGGCAGCAGGCAGTCGGAGCACTGATGGAGCTGATGGAGCTGCTGCAGGCCTCCAGCAGCTCCATCAGCTCCAGCAGCTCCAGCTTAAATATAGAAAGCGAGCGCGGACGGAGAGGACGGAGGAAGCTGTCGGCTCGAGTCCAAGCGAGGAGCAGAAACTCTGGATCTCTGAAAAATGTAAACCACATCAGCTGACGTGTGCAGAAGTTTCCGTTTGACTTCACATTCCTGAGTGCTGAACAAGCAGAAAGAGAGGGTCACAGGTCACATGACCAGAACCGTGTGATGTGAGCCATGAGGGTGAGGAAGGTCAGAGCCTCGTCATCGCTCCTGACTGCTGATTGGACGGCTTCACAAACACACCTATTGTCTGTAATCTGCTGTAATCTGAGCGCGTGTCCTCCTGCGATCACACGCTCGAGCCGCTCCTTCACTAAACAAACGCCAGCCCTGCAGCGAGTCGAGTAGCAGCTGCTGCGGCGCTCTGACATCACGCTGACCTCACAGTCCAGACACGAGCTGCCAAAGAGTTTGTCCTTCAGCTGCCAACCACACACGTTTACAGCTGCACCGACTCGCCTGATCCCGCCTGTGATGACTCGTTCGATTTACCCGCGCTGCTGAAATAAATGTGCAAACTCGGCGAAGCTGAAAGCGTCCACGCTGTAAAAAGTGTCCTTGTTAAAGAACACGTCCTCCAAACGTCTGTAATCATGTGACACTTGACCTCTGACCTCAGCCTGTGTCTCTCTGCAGTTCAAAGATCCGCTCATCCTGCTGTTGCTGGCGTCGGCGGTCATCAGCATCATCATGCACCAGTTCGATGACGCCATCAGCATCACAGTGGTAGGTAACCAGCGGCGCTCAGGCGTCCTCTGAAACCTGCAGGTCCTCCACACGAGGTCACACACGACAGCTGTTTCTGTGTGATACAAAAACGAGGTCAAAGTTCAGATGGCAGGAGCGGAGTGGAACAGCAGCTCTGTGTTCTTAGACTCAGTGACTCAAATGCAGCAAGTTTTACATGTAAAGGTCACGGGGTCAGTGACTGAGACGTCCTGTGAGGCAGTGCTGCTCTGCGATTGGTCAGCACGGTGCGTGCTTGTTATTGTCTCCTCTCACCTTAAGCTCAGCGTGCACCGTCACAGAGAGGTGGACCGCCGCCGCCTCGGGCCTCCAGAGGAACGCCACAGGCACAGATTAAAAACAATCGATCTTCTCTGCAGCCCGTCTGCACACGTTTGAACATCTGCACGCTTCTCGTTCAGCCACAACCAGGTCAGGTCCATCACAGAAGATGGGTCTCATTTACCTAAAGTCATCGAGTTCATCTGCATCGGTGAAGTAAAACCTGAACAGGAAGGTTTGGCGTTGTGTTCCATCTTACCGGTTGTTTCTGCACACACGCACAACACAAAGTGACAAACCGTCCTGCATGCTGGAGTCATTGTTGACAGCATAAAGTACGTACGGCAGGACGGTTTGTCAGAACACCGGATATCCTCTGGTTAGAGACCAAAGGCGGATTCATGTGCAGAGAGAGGAGCTCTGAGATGGAGAGTCTGAGTGACGCACACACAGTTTGACCCTCGTAAAAGAAGAAACGTGAGTCCCTGTGCACACGCAGGCCGGCTGCAGGCGAGCAAACAGCTTCATCGCTGTTTGCTTTCAGACTTCGGGTAATTAAAGCGATCCGGGAACCCTTCAGGATGTTTGATCAGGTTTCTGTTTTAATCCTCCAAACGGACGCAGAGCTTCAGCAGCCAGAAGGTCAGCCGATGGTCTGAATCCACCTCAGCGTGTGAACAAGCAGAAATGATGAAGAGCTTATTCATGTCATCACATTCAGATATGATGACTGTGAAAGCAGACGGGCCACTGTGAGGCCAAAGCTCCGCCTCACAGGAAATAAACATAAATGCAGAGGTGAGAGGTTACAAACAGTGCTTTTAATTTGAAAGGAAATGTGGAATATATTTTATGATGAAAGGAAAAGATGAACGATGTTGAGCTCTGACGTCGCAAACATTCACTGAAATCTTCAATAAACCCTGAACGACTCAGTGTCAGTGGGGTTTCCACAGCTGTGGGGTTTTATTGTGAACGATGGAAGAATTTAAAAACTCATGTTGGACCTCAAAGTTCAGTCTGTGCTTTCCCCCCCCCAGGCCATCATCATCGTAGTGACGGTCGCCTTCGTCCAGGTACGTCCTGTTTTTACTCTTTAACAACACTGCTGTGTGTGTGTGTGT